CGGACGTACATATGGACGGACAGACAAGATGAAAACATAACTCCTCTGCCTACAGCCGCCACCGCCGCCGCCACAGAGGCAGATAAAAAAACGTCTGATAAATCATCCGACTAGTCTTTGGCGAATATTATTCTGCAGAACCTCAACAACATCGTCACAGACCTGCATGTAGTGGAGGCCACAATCTGAACAAGAGGCCGCACGCCTCATTACCAGCGACATTAACAGACCTTAGTGAAGAAGGAGCAGCTGCCCTCTGACACCCAGGCCACAGCACCCGCCACGGACGGGGAAGGGTCACATCCGTTCCCCGCATCGATCAGCTGATACGACCTCTGACCCCAACGTCCCATCAGCCAATCATACCTGGCGTCTAGTCTCTTGATGATTACAGGCATGTTCCACCCTGTGAGGAGAGAAGGAGAATGACGAGAAAAAACTCGTGCACATACAATAAATATTTTACATTACTTTCAAATAGAAGCAAAATCCGCCCAACCACTTCGTCTCTGCTGAACAGGTGAGCCAGACAACAAGCAGTGACAGAGTCTCGTCCGTCAGACCGAGGCTGAGTCAGCGTTCTCACCCTCGGAGGTGAACACGGTCTGGGAGAGGCCACAGTTGTGACCCATGCAGCTCCAGTAGTAGAGCACGCTGGGGATCCAGTTACCCAGAGCGAAGACGGGCACGGGAGAGAAGTGAAGCCGGGACAGAACCTCCTTCTTACTGCAGAGAAGAGCAGGAGGTTAAAACACGTATTTTGTCGACAATCAAACACCGACAACTCAACTAACTACACAGCAGCTTATAATTATTTAATTTCAAACACTAGATAATTAGAAAAAGAAACTTGGGCTGGAACTAATCGCAAAAACTTTCATACAGAGAATGAGATTTTCAAGTAAGAAATTAATAGTTTAGTCTTTAAAACTTCTGAAAAATGTGAAAATTTCATTACAATTTCCCTGAGTACACAGTCATGTGTTTACATTGTTTTCTTCTGTCCAAAGATATTTCATTTCATTTCATTGATACAAAAGAGAATAAAAGCAGCAAATTCTCACATTAAAGAACCTGCTATGTTTTTGTATTTTTGCATGAAGACTGATACTGTTTGTGACATCTCCCTTTTAGTCTCAGATTGTAACTGGACTTCCTCGTTTCGGGTTTCAGTTCAGTAAATGTTGTGAAGATTTTTGAGACTGTTCTCCTTTTACATTTTTTGGTTGTTTTTTTTGGGGTTTTTTTTTACCAACTGGCAACAGATATTCAGGCTGTTTCATGTTGCTCATGTTTTATCAGTTTTAATTTTTTTTTTAACTTGTGTATTTTGCCTATTATCATTAACACTCCTTGATTTCACTGCTGTTGTGTGTTACATTTCTTTCTAACTGGTATTCATTTTTATCACATTCACCGAGGGGTGATCCTGTTTTGATGTAATTTTGCTGCGAGCTAAATTTCCCATGTGAGACAATAATGACTGAACATAACTGCTTTACAGTTTTTTAGTTTTCAATTTAATATGATCTATGTTGACAGCAGAGATTTCAACTGTGATGAATTTACCTCTTAATTAAAGTCAGTTTCCACAAGTGTGTTCAGATGAGCTTGTTACTCCCCAGTGGTGACAAGTAACTAAACACATTTATTCAAATGCTTTTGCACAGATTTAAGGTATTTGTTCTTGATTATAAATCACAATGCATTGTTAAAGAATAAACTAGTGTTTCCCAACCTTTTTGGCTTGTGACCCCTTGCAGCTGGCATCCTCATTCTAGATTTAAGTTGAATGCAGTTTCACCTAAGAGACATTTCCTCTCTAAACTTCTCAGACTGTGTCTTTTAAACCAATTCCTGAATCACCTCAGAAGCTCTCAGATTTTTATTATGACCCTTGAAACTGTCCAGGGGCTCCAGACTCCAGTGTCAAGTTATTAACACAGAGAAGACTTTGGGTAGGGTGGGATTATTCCATCAGAGAAGAACTGTAAGTCTGCAATGAACAATGATTTTAATAATCAATGAATTTCACAGTTATTTTCTTTAATAATCAATCGTTCAGTGTATAAAATGTCAGGAAATAGAAGAAACCCATCATTACTCCCTGAAGGCCAGGTTCACATGCTCACAGCTTCTTTTGTTGAGCACCAGTCAAAAACATGTTGAATTTACTATCATAAAAAACTGTGAAAACTAGCAAATATTCACATTTGACAAGCTGCTCCCAGTGAATAATAGTTTGGGGCAACAGGGGCCCAACATTGTGCCCCGGGGTCCCTCAGGAGGTTCATCCGGTCATGGGGCCTGAAGCCTAGGTTGGGAACCACTGGACAAAATAAAACATGCTGTATATAAAGTGGTTTAAAATGCTGCTCACACTTAAAAGCATCAGTATTAACAATCTAATAATGTCAGAAATAACTATATTAATCACACGGGCATTTTTCTACAAAACTATTAGGCTACTTTCACTTTTGATTATTTAAGAACATAAAGCTTTTGTACTTTTACTTAAGTGGGATTTTGAATGCAGGGCTTTCATCTGTATTTTCACATTGTGATCCTGCTACTTTTACTTAAATAACGGATCTGAATACTTCCTGGATACTTCAGGAACTCCGTCAGTTCTGCAGAGATGAAAATGCAGCAAGTGTGTCATAACTTTTTTTTTTTTTTTTTTTTTTTTTAAGTGGTCTGCATTTCAGCCCCAGCCCCAACCCCTCGCCCCAAAACAGTGCTCCCCCTCAGGTCACCTGTGCATGGCGGCCCGTTGCAGCTGCTCCCTCATCCAGAGAGCATCACTGACCGCAGAGTCGTCCAGGGACAGGAAGAGCACCTGTGTGCTGTCCGGCAGGTCCTGCACAAGGCTGGTCAGGGACGACTCCGAGCTCCACATACACTCCAGAAACCCAGACTTGTTGGTGAAGGCGTGAATGACCACAGATCCCCGCAGAGCTCCGGGCTGGTAGGAAAACTCCCCATCCAGAGTTGGGACTTTGAACGCGGCCGCGACGTCCCCCGGCTCGGGCCCGGTGGAGATCTGCGGAGCGGAGGTTTTTCTGGATCTAAACGAAACCGTGTTGTCTTGGGACTCGCAGACCTGGTCCCCATCGTCGGTCAGTTTCATCCGCTGCTTAGACCTCCCCGCGGCTTCAGTCACATGAGCTGTCACAACAACAAGGAACCACAACAGCGAGGACCAGGAACGCAACACAGCCATGTTTCCGTTGACAGCTAGACACCGTGAACTCACCACAAACAGCAGATACCGAGCATGTCTTTCACAGAGTTTATGTTGAATTAAAGGCTTCTTCAACGACTCTCCTCTCTAAAACGCTTTCACGGACTTCCTAAATTCACCTCCAAACATTTGAGTTGGGGGCGGGTCATGCTGCTGTCTACGGCGGCTGTAGCGGGACAAACAGCTTAAAAAGCGCAAACCGTACACCGGGCGATTGATATCGCGAAAACGGGATTTCAGTTGCAGTTGGTTGCAAAAATGTGTTGTTTGTCACTAACCTCATAATCTACAGTAGGCTAAAATTATAAATATTAAAGTAATTATAGAAGCCTATTGGGAACTTTATTAAGATGATCATGGAAACACTGGACTTGACTTTCCAGGGATAGATGAGCGGAGCTGAGAGAGTGAAAGAAGAATAAAAAAGGAGGGAAATGAGAACAGAGTGATCCGGAGGAGCTCAAATAAATACTGTCTGATAATATTACAGTACATGTCCATGTTGTTTATCCTATGATGCTATTCCTTAAAGAGATGTATTATCATTGGAGTAAATGTTCTTCTGGTGGCCTAATATTCAGTTCAGAACACTGAAGACATTTACTTGGCCTTGTGGATCTATGACTGCTCAGTTAGAGCAGCACATATTATTATGGTCTGGATTTAAATGTAGATTTGTCATCTAAACATTAAATCTGTGAACAGCAGAGTGTAACAAAAATAGGTGCCAAAAGTAGTGATGCTGTTTATGCCAAATTCATTCCCCACCTGTCATGTACATTCAAAATAGTCACATCAGACAACCTTTGCCTCTTTTTATGTGACAGTAGTGAAAATTAGTCATTGTCAAAATCTGTTGTGTTGTGGTTTCAGAATGATGGAGACAGAGAACAATTAGATTCAAAATGTGATGCAGGCTCGGGATGATTTTCTTTTCTTGGGCAACTTTCATGTTTGTGGCTTGGTACGGTAAACAGCATGTAGCTGCTGTGAACGGGGAGAAAATCCTCCGGGGAGCATGTCCCCTGAATATTGACTTAAGTTGGGGCTAAACCCTGAATGTCTACAGTGTCAGGCCGCTGATTATTCTCACAGGTAATCATGAAACCAACCAGTACTCTAGAGCTGAAATAATTGGTGGATTTGGTTGATTGGCATTATTGATCGTTGACTGACATCAAACGTGATGTTAACATTTTTGTGCTTTTGACTGTTGCTCAGACAAAAAAAGAAACTTTAATACGTTAATTTGGGTTTCAGGGAATAATAACTAGAAAATTCCTGGAGAACTTTTGAATGTGCCTGCTGCTTGGTACATGTACTTCACTCCTCACGCTTCAATCCTAACAATTATTAATTGATGCTCCATTGCTGTTATTATTGATAACACCGTTACACCTAAGTGACAGTGCCTGAATACAACAGTATATAGGAAACAGCTGTAACACTGATTTTGTTTACTCAAGAACCTTTGTGCTTGGGAAATGTATATGATTTAACAACTATTTTGTACTTAACTACATTTATTTTACAGGTATACAGTTGTTATTTAACAGATGCAGATGTTATGGAGCCTGCGCATGAAACACCTACTAATTATAACAAATGCCGATATGAATCCCTGTGACTCACAGAATAATTGCCGGAGACGAGCATTGACCCACATCATTCACTCCGGCTGTGCGTAAAAGTGCCGTGTGCGCAAAAAGAGCGTTAATGGATGGTCGATGGATGGTTAATGGATCCCCGTGGCGTAATGGCGCATCATCAGAGAAGGCGCGCTGCTGTTGTCTCTTTCGGCATTTAAAATAATCCAGCAGAGAGGTGCAGACTACCTGCACGCACATACTTCTTATTAGCTGGAACCCAGGCTGAAAGGATTCAGCTTTTGTATTTTTATGCAGAAGCCTTTGGGGTGAAATTACGCAAGGTCTGCACTGATGGAGATAGTTAAGCTTGTTCTGATACTCGTGCTGCTTCTGACAAATGTTTTCTGTCAAAAAATTGAAGTTGACAATTGGACAGAAAGCGGCGAAGAGGTAAGACTTATTTAACTTCATTGCATTTGTGGATTTATAAAACTGTGGAACATAAACTGTCTGTTCGCTTAAGAAACTCTTGGGAAGCTCTTGGGAAGACAGTTTCTTTGGCTCAGCTGCTGGAGGAAATTAATTTGAATACTAAGAGATACTAGAAATATCCAGTCTCTGTATTTATACATTATTTCTGTCTCATACAAGAACAAGTGGCCCAACTCTGGAGTAATTCAAGACATATTAGTGAGAATGATCAGAAAACCAGGACCACGCCAATATCTCGGACTCATGGGGAAGAAAGACTCTGGTAGGCGCTTTAAAGCCACGCTGTCTCACAAGAATAAACTTTATGTTTTTCTCATGAGAGAAAAATCACTGTTTTCTTTCTTTGCTCCAAACAGCAAAAACGCAGACAGCTCGTAAACGTAAGTATTATTATCTTTATATCATATTTCAAAAAGTGGCACTGTATTTAAAGAAAGGTTGAGTCTTTATGGGACGTTTTTCTTCCCAGGGCACAAATTTCAAACCTTTGTGGGTCTGATGGGTAAAAGGAGCTTTGAGGATAAAGGTATGATTTATTCAACTGTCACATAAAAAAAAAAGTCAAATTTCAGTGGAAATCTGCCTGGTAACAGCTGATCTCATCCCTGCAGGAGCCCTGTGAGCTGCACAGAGGACTGAAGTTTACTGAAGAAAACTACATGTGTTTTGTTTCATTTCAGATCGACTACAAAAAAAAGTTTTATTTTGTCGAATCAGTCTGTCATTGTCTCATAAAAATGTCACATCTAACAGTGGAGTCTGGCACCGTTGGCAAAGCTGATGACACTTTTAGGCAACCAGTGACATCTAGTGGGGGAAATAAAGCGGTGAAAAAAAACACTGGAAATATTAAATGATCACTGAAACTTAATGTAACGGTAGTAAAATAGTGTCATGTAAAATCACCATCATTTCAAACTAACTGACTGCATCATTTTCCACAATAAAACCAATTCACTTCTCAATATCATCACAGGTTTATTAAGTGACTTTGTACAATACAAATGAAAAATAAAATTAAAAATATAGAGATGGAGTACATAGCCAAAGCAAATTGCGGTGTTGACTCTTCATTTCCCACTGACCCATTTCCGCAGAGTGACTGAAATATTGTTTTCTTTTCCAACACGTCCAGGATCACTGTTATATGTGAAAGTGTGGTTGTTTGTTTTTTTGATTTCAAACAGTGGACGCTGCTGTCAAGTCTCTGAGAGTTTTCTAAACATACAAAAGAAGTTATTACTTCAGCTGGCTCGGTATATATAAAAATAAACTAAAGTGAAATATAACACTTATGACATTATAAATGGTGGTCCAAGGCTAGTGGAGATAGCAAAACATAGAGGAAAAAGAAAGCGTTACATTTCAGAAAAAAAAGAAGCTTTAGCCATATTTTTTTTTAGAAATCTATAAAAAAGGCCCAAGGTTCATTTTTTATTGTTTTTCATGGTTGTAAGTTTTTCTGTTGACACCATTTAATTTGAGGCTGTCGCACTCAAAGGAGGAGGGTTACGGATTACCGGGTACACTCAAAACAAAAAGGATTAGTTAATGCCTTGTCCTCTTCTTACTTTAATACATGACAGAAGATCAGGTTAATGTTCATATACTGTTACTGTCATTTTTTTTCCTGTAAACAAAAATCATTCACCAGAACTTGATTGTACAACAGTCGGACACGACTCGTGGGTAATTTTTTGTCTTAACTCTCCATAAAACTGTTCACATCAGTTATTTAAAAGCAACCTTGGGAGGGGAAAAAAGAGCAGCAGGTGGGGGCGGGGACAGTTATAACAACAACAATAATAATATCAATAATAATAATAATAATAATAATAATTAAAATAATAATATGGGTTTGGCCTTTCTAAAATGGGGTTATTTTTTTTCTGCTGTTAAGGTAAACACATTCTTTGATGATGATGAGTCCCGAGGCAGCGAGGGGACTCTGTGGTGGCGGTTCTGGCTGTACATTATGCAGACCCTCTCCACCCCCCCCTCACTTACCCACAAATACCCCCAGTACCCCCTCTAGTGGGTGGGAGCAGGAGCACAGCTGTGCTGGCAGACATAGCAGGGCCAGAGGAAGAGGAGGAGGAGGGAGGATGAGGAGGAGGAGGAGGAGGAGGAGGAGGAGGAGGAGGAGGAGGAGGAGGAGGAGGAGTAGGGGGAGTAGGAGGGTGATGTCAGTGCCACACACTGGTGTCCTGACCGGCAACGTTGGCAAACAAAAACAACTCAAGTTGGGGTGGTCCTGCCGACTGTCTTTAAAAGATCTTGCCTTTCTTTTTGTTTTTCTCCAGAGTCCTGCAGAAGAGGAAGGACACACAGAATCAGTCCTCATATCTAAAATCAAATTTCAGCTCCTTTGCTTTTAGATGTCCTACTATCAAATAGATACATCACTTTATAAGTTACGTCTGTAGTGAACCAGATAGTAGAAACACTACACAGTGTTGAATGATGCATTTATAAGCTTTATATCTAAATACACATTATCTATAGCACTGATTCCCAACATTCTGGCTTGTGGCCAGTGGATCGAGTCATTGTCTACTAATGAGCTAATGTGTTTATTAAATTTCTTTGTAATGAAAGGTCTGAAACAGTAAAACCGTCTTTGCAAAAGTAAAGTTTGTAGTAATCTCCGGAGCGATAAACATTATGTTGCTTAACAGAATTTTTTGTTCTGTCTTTCTAACCCTGTAATAACCTCATGGCCCCTCAGGGTTATTTTACAGCCCCTGACTCCCAGGCTGAGAGCCGCTGAGCTTGTTGCCTGTATATTGTATTTTCAATTGAAAATGTAAAGATTATGTAATGCTGTTCTGGCACTATAAAGCTGAATGACCTTCTCTGACACAGGCTGTGCCTGAAATGACTCGCCATTTACTCTTAAGTGCACTGAGTGCATTCAGTACATCTCCCTACGCCAATGTTTTTGACTGTCCCAGTTCTGAGTGAGGACACGAATGGCATGGACCTTACTTTCTGCTTACAATCCCGCATTTATAGATATAAACATTATCATTATGAAACTGCAGTTTAATAACGATGAGGCAGAAAGACAAGGATTCATAAGTGACCAGTTACTGCTCATAGCAGAGTCCTGAGTGTGTGTTAAATTGAAAAAGTGACTGAGTGAACAAGAAAAATGATTTCTGATACAGCCACGTTCTCAGATCATCATCATGAAGGTGGCATTTTCTTCAGTGGTTTTGTATTTGATCACATTACTTTGTCTCTGTTGTGGATTACTTGATTTAAAGGTTGTGTTAGGGTTAGAGGGTTAGTGATATACAGAACTGTGTAAAAGTTTTAGACAATTTAGATGTTTAGACTCTTCAGAGAGGCGCCTGATTGGTCCCAAACTCAGTCTGCACCATGGCAACGAACCCAAACGTAAAGCCAGAGTCGTACAGAACTATCTTCAGGGACGAGGAACAAGGAGTCCAATGACAGATGGTTCAGCAACCCAAAGATCTCAACATCATGGACTCAGTCTGGGATTACATGAAAGGTGTGTGTGGATGATATAGGAGTGTGTGCACACAGCTGAACCATGAAAGGTGTGACAGCGAGAGCCAGCTATACCTGGAGGCCTCCAGTTTCTGCTGCTCCAGGCGCTGCTGGGCCTCCCAGTTCGCTCTCTCATCCTCAAACACGCGTCTCTTCTCCTCCAGCTCCTTGTGCTGAGCCTCCAGGTTCTTTTTCATCTGCTCATGACGCCGCTGAAGCTACAGAGACACAGACAGGACGGAGGATGCCATCAGCACTTTATACTGAAGCAATGCAGTCAGAAAATGTACAAAACATGAAGTGAACTTTTTCACACGTTTTATCTATTAGCTTTAACGTTTATTTCTGGCTTTGACTTGACCTTCCATTTATTTATGTACAAAAGTCATTTTAACACATATGAGTTATTGATATACTTTAATTGATCTACAAATCAGCAAAAACAGCATCGCCTTTACACACTCTTTATATAGCATTGTTATCAGCAGTAGAAGGCATCACAGGACAATATTCAAAGTGCAGGCATCAGCCAGCCTGGTGTAAACAAATTTACATCCATGTTCTTGCTGCACAACAACTTGCTGTCTGAGTGTATAAAGTACATTCATATTTTACTTCCATGTTTTCTTGATTTAAATCTCATTTTATTGCAATAATCTTAACATGTGGAAATAATAAAATGGAGCATAAATAGCTCCATGTGTTCAACAGATATTTAAACAGACATGACTTACAGTCTGCATGTACATTTACATGCACACAGCCTTTATTTAAAATCACCCCCCCATCTTCTTTTCTTTTCTTTTTTTTTTTTTTTTGGGGGGGGGGGGGGGGGACAACGACTAGCAAACAGAACATTCATTTACACAAATCAACAACACACTCTCATACAGCTCTCTCGCACTTCTAACCGCCGTAACACGTCAGCACAAGAGGAAGGAAGACGCTCAGACAGATGAGTAATTTCACAAGCGCATGAACTGCAGTATTCATTAACACAGATGTTTGTATGTGTGTGTGTGTGTGCGTGTGTGTGTGTTTTACCTCTGCTTCTGAGTCTTTGAGCTTCTGCACTTTTTCCTTGACTTTCATCTCAAACACCTGCTCCATCTCCATCTCCATCTTCTTCATCTTAGCCACATGCTCTCGCCTCTCCTCCTCCATCTGGGCCAGAGGACTCCTGCACAGGGAGTACGTGAGCACGCACGCACACACACGCACACACACAGACACACACAAACACACCAGATTTAGACCAGCTCTACACTACATCACCAGCACCGGTGTACACATCTGTATGCTGATACAGTGTAACAGTAATTTCATCCATAGCTACCATGATTAGATTTTTAGCCTTACTCCAATAGGACTGTTAAAAACTGAATTTACTGAATGTATTTTTGGTTTTATTTGACAAAGTTAGTATTTTCATCCTATTCTGCAAAATGAAATCTCAGCAACCCTTCAGCAACCCGTCTCAAAGTTGTTTGCGTGCAGATTGCAATTCTCTACAGAAGAAGAAAAAGTTGAAAAAGAGAAAGAAGTAGAAGGAGGTTTGGAAAAGAAATAGCTGGATTCTGGCTTTTCAGTGGATTGCAGCAGTAGGGGTCGGACACCTGAAAACATGCCAGCTGGATCCCAAATCATCTGGACTGGTCGACTAAACTGGTGAAAGTAAATTTAGAACTTTTTTCTCTTGCAGAGCGGCCAGAAAAGACAGGAAACTGACTTTAAACTTCATCCCCCCCCATCCCCCCAAAGAAATACAAACTGTTGGGGTAGGGGAGGAAAAACAGACCAAGAGGTGTGAAGTCTTAGGAATGACAGGATCCAACAAGGCTGTGAAAAGAAAATGGGGAAACCAAAACCAACCATGGGACATTTCTGGGAACCAGGAGAGGGACCCAAAAGCTAATGCAAGGAACCTGTGAACACTGGTTGTCAGTGCAGGTGGTGGGTTAAAGGTTAGTAAAGCTCAACAGGACAGTATGTTGCAGTGTAAGTGTGCAGAGACCCGCTGTGAAATACATGTGGAGGTTACCTGTGATTATGAGGAGTTTTATTTGGAGGAGTGATAACACGAGCAAAGCTAATAAAGTATCTCTTCAAGCTGCAATATACTGTGTTTCTTTAAATGAAAACAAATACAATTAATACATTGTGTTTGTTTGTGACTGTGCTTTTCAGGGTATTTCTAGAAGGAACGCATCAATCCAATATAATGATTCAGTATCAACATCAATACTGACCTTATTAACACAACCAGTCCACATTAAATACTGTTTCCTTTTTTTTCAGTTAATGGTTTTAATGAAATCAATTGTTTCCACTTTAAGTTACATTCATTCAGTCCCTGCAGGCTGTTGACTCTGGCTTTAGCGCCACAGAAATCCCTGGCCTCCTTTTGCCTTACATAACAGGGATTCAGGTGAGTTAAACATAGTAAGGTAAAGAGATTTTTAATGTGGGAGACGGAGAGCACTGGTAACAGTTAATTGGTAGAGACATATACACTGAGCCAGGGGATTGGAGTCATATTAGGAGGGAAAACTTGGATTGATGCATCCCCTAATTTCTATAATTCCAGATATTAAAGTCTTACGGCGAGGCTTTAAAGTAATTCTTTAAATGTTTTGGTGTAAATACATC